TTAAAGAACATTTATTGACACATGTCATATGATAAATGTTAAGTCTTTGGCGATTAGACCCCGATCCTGAAATCTTATATCTAAAGGGGGAAATGCAGCCGTGAGCATATAGGGAACCTCCCCGGGGTCTAGACACTGGTGATGATGATGAAGATCTGGATTTGATGAGGAGATGGGATGAAGAGGAGGTGTGATGAGGTCTTTGGATTAGCTCTCCTGGCTCTGGATATGATGAACGGAGGTGGGTGGAGAAGAGGTGGATGGGGAGGAGGTGGATGGGGAGGAGGCGGGCGGCAGCATGAACACCTGAAATCACAGCTGACTGCAGGAGAGAGGAGAACCATTTTAAAGTTTGGCTGCAGCTCGGTGATTGGCTGCTGGAGAATGAGGTGAATGTAATAGGTTAAAGAGAACGCCTGTGATGAGCTGATTATAAGCAGCTGCGGAGTGAATGTATACATACCCAGTCTTCCTGAAAGAACTTGCGCTGAGCTTCATTTAGTGAGTCAGACTCATGGTCAGAATGCTGGTTGGGAGGCTCAGTTCTTCCTGTTGACAGAAGATGGCACTTTTCTGAGAGGGAGCCAGCCGGCAGACACTGGACAGTGGCACACCAACAGATGAAACAGGAATCCATCTGAGAGGCTATGCGGAAAAGGATAACAAATAATGTCAGCAAGACATGAACATATATAACCACTATCATTCAATTCTGTAATTGCAGGTTTGTTAGCATGATATTTCAAACATAAATGGCCTGTCTTAGTTTAAAGCCCACTCACCACGTCAAGGTGCAGGCCACGAGTGAGGACACAACAACGATCACAAACAGTACATACACACGAGACAAAACTTACATACATATAAATAACTTACATATACAATGAACAATGATAAAGATTTAAATCACAATTGATCATAACTCAAAATACATATATTTTTATATATTACCAAGTGGTTTCATGTAGGCTACAACCCACACAAGTATCATGCTAAATTAAGCTCTGTTGCTTGGATATCACTAGATCCTGTTACATCAGCGTAATATAAAAGTACATAACGACTGATGTGTAAATTAGCATAATTACTAGCTAGCCGCTAGCTGCTAACTGCCCGCCTCGTCGTTAATATCAAATCCATCATAACAACCCATTACCATGCTGTCATGAACGCGCGGTGCTGTTACGTGTACGCAAATTGACGTGCTTGATGTGAACGAGCATTTTGGGGGGCATGTTTAAAGTTGCGCATGCGCTATGAGCGCACATACGGGTACTTCTCAGGCATGCCGGGTAATCTGTGACGTTTCGCTCTCTCAAAAGTTGGGCCATTTTGTCATCATGCGCGATTGAGCAACTCTCATAGGAATGAATGAGGCCCCGCCTCCCACGCTGTATCCAGTTCTTATTATACATCCATGGGGCCTTCGTGTGGCCGGTCTTTTTTCTTCTTCGTGTGTGATTATTTGACAGATAAGAACCACACAACTGCATTAGCGGCCGCTGTCGCCCTCTGTCGGCCGTAAGCGCAACTTAAATGATGACTTTAAAAAAAAAATGTAAAGGGCTGGCCGGCCGTCAACGGCCCTTGACGACCGGCCGTTCTGTGGTTCTCCAGATTCTACAGATGGCCAGTCCGCCCCTGCCGTCTGTCTGTCCGTCTGTCTGTCTGTCTGTCCGTCCGTATAATATAATATATGTGAAATTCGTAATTTGAAAAATGATTGATTCGAAAATGATATGCTGCTACAGTACAGTACAAGTAGCCTACTTCTGGGTGTTTCATTCAAGCTCGGCTCCGTGTGTGTCTGTGTGGCACGAGTGAGCGAGAGAGAGAGAGAGAGAGAGAGAGAGAGCAAGATTGTTGTTGCTGCGCTAACCGATATTAGAAGCTGTTTCTACTAAGTAACTAAGTTACTAACTAAGTGAAAGGAAAGTCCTCTCCTGTCAGATAACGTCAGCTCAGTGAGGTAAAGGACTCTCTCTGTTTAGATAGTTAACTTTAGTCTAAGTTATCTCAGTGGGTCTCAAAACAGTTTGATCACCATTTATGTAAACAAGTATTTCCGAGGCACACTTCATATGATCATTATAGTTAGGCTATAAAATAATAAGAGAATAAATGAAAAACAGGTATGAAATTGAAATACTATATGACAGTAAAACAAGAATACAGTTTAAAAAGGGGAGTGATTTGTAAAATATCCATAAAGAAAAAGTACATCTGTTTACAGTTCTGTTTCAACATTGAGAGATGTATCTATCTATCTATCTATCTATCTATCTATCTATCTATCTATCTATCTATCTATCTATCTATCTATCTATCTATCTATCTATCTGTAGACAGACAGACAGACAGACAGACAGACAGACAGACAGACAGACAGACAGACAGACAGACAGACAGACAGACAGACAGACAGACAGACGGATGGATGGATATATGGATATATAGATGGACAGATAGATAGATACCTCATTCATCCCAAATTGTGAAATGTGTGGAAACAATAACATTAAATACAAATGAAAGCAATAGACAGGAATATATGCATTTAATGTAGCCTTACTAAGGCTGACCTAAATACGTTGCTTTTCTACAGATTACGTTACCACTGCACTGGTAAGGCAAAACTATAGGCCGATTAATAAGATGTGAAGTGCTTTGTAACTTTGACCCGCTTGACTGAATACACAAAAAACAATGAAGAAAGTTGAACCAATAAACTAACACAAACTAACTGTATCACTATAAAATGATGATGATGGTGATTGTTACGACCTTATGTCATTTGTGTGTAGATATTTGCCCCTCCTCCTGTATCTGTCCTGTTGTGTCCTACTTATACCGTATACTGGTCCTCTTGCTTGTCTTGAAAACCTCAGAAAAGAAACTACTTTAACCTGTCCTTGTTGGACACGCTTTAATTTATGCAAAAGTGTGAAACCCTTTTCTTTTGGTTAATTCTCGTTTTCTCCTGTTTATACGTCAGAGTAGGTAAGAAGCCTGTACGTTTATTTTTCTTATTTGTTAGGCAATATTTATGTGTTCAGAGATTTGTTTGTTTTGTGGGTTGTTGCGTTTCTTTGTTAAAAACTTTGGTAATTAAAATGACCAAACGGCATTCTCTGTCTCGGTGTCCATGTTCTTGGGAGTGGGAAGAGTTGGGAGAGGGCAATTTTATGCTGCGCCTAGTTTCTCTAGATCTGGGCGTAACAGTGATAAAGAATACATCTAACATAGCCGTGGGAACATGTGGGTGCATGCGCTGCATCGTCCAATCAGTGAGCGATACACAGTAAGGGGGCGGGGAGAGTATCTGAGGATTTCACCCGAGGATGATCCGAGGTGGTTCCTCGGTTATCGCTCCTCCATTATCGCTCCTCGCTCTTCGATCCTCGGTCCTCCGGCAGAAATAAGAGTCATGGGACGCTACTCAAGATGGCAGACAAATCAACTACCGGTGATACCGAGGACCGAGGACCGAGGAAATGAAAATTGTCGACCTGAGAAGGACCCCGTGTGTGTAAAAAGACGATCCACAAGCAGAGATTTGAGATCCACAAGCAGAAATGTGAGATCCACAAGCGCATTTTTGGTTGACAAATACAAAATGGATTCACAAATGCCTGATCGAAAGTTGTAAATGTTAAAGAGATATTCAAAGATCTTTTTTTTATTTGTAAAAATATTTAGCGCATTTGCAGATCCGTTTTACATTTGCAAATTTATTTGTGAGTTTGCAAATCTTTTAAATGCATTTGTGGATGGTGTTTTACATTTACAAATCACATATTTACACACAAATGATTTTTCTGTTCACACAAATAATTATGAGACATATCTATGCCCATAGATGCTGCATCCTGGAGGAGTCAAATAGTTGGTGCGTGCGAGCCGGGTAGACTGAAGCGTGCAGACGGGAGGCATTCTACCAAGTCAGGACAGGCAGCCGGTAAGACACTCAGAATCCATAATGTTGTGTGAGAGCTCCGCAGAGCCGCGGTGCGCTAACATGTTTCTGTTCTGTTAAATTGTTTGCGTGAGTGCCACGTGTCTTTTTAGAACTCTGCGCAGCATTGTTTATAGATTTAAGTTTCAATGTGGTGCGCTAATTGTGCAGAACATTATGAGCTTAGACGCTCTGTTATTTATTGTCAAAAGGATCAAATAAGGACCTATTTTAGTTATAATTTAACATCCTGCAATTAGCGTACTCGGATAGGTGTTCAAAGGAATACGATTTTAGGAGGTTCAATAAACTGAATTGAAGAACAATAAATAAATACAATAAAATATTTATTCATAAAAAGTATTCATTTCGATTTCCTAAACCTTTGTAATAAAATCCTGTTAATTTAATTCACTGAATGTTCCTGCTAAAATGGAGGAAAGAATCTTTCTTGTTACAAAGAATTCATTTGAGTTATTAAAAACATTGCTAACAAAATCTGGTTTAATTGGTTGAATACTTTCTAAAATGGAGGAAAGAATATTTTCTTGTTTAAATATAATGAATTAGATTTGTTAAAAATATTTCTAGTAAAGTCCAGTTAATTAAATCTGCTGCGATTTCTAAAGAGCTTGGGTTCAAAGAAACGTTTTCATGTTTCAAATGGATATTTCTGTGCTTAATCTGCTCAGTCCATTTGAAACATATTCAATTTACCCTGTTTAATTATTTGCATTATTTATTACAAAAACACACAAAACCTCAATTATTTTCCATATAATAATTAGCAGGGGGATGGGGCTTTGGTGGTTATTATGAGTCTTGAATATGTCAAAGATTAACAAAAAGTTGATTTGACTGCATTATTATTTTTTACGTAGTTTCAGATATACCTCTGGACACCTTTGTGGCCAAAAATGCCTCATTGACTTCCATTCAAACCACATTTTTTGATCTCACTGCCATTGCAGTATACAACCATGCGTTTGGTAATGTCAGCATTTCATTTAGAAGAAAAGTGATATTTGATATTTCTACTCTATTCCACCAGATTCAACCATTTTCCCACTGTAGGCCTGTGTGTGTGTTTTATTCCTGCTCTTTGCAGCATCTCTGAAGATGCAAATGTTTATTATCCAATTATGATCAAACTATTGTCAGATTTTAAAATGGAACTGAATTTCCTGCTCCCTCTCTCTCCTCTCCTCCCTCTCTCTCTCCCCTCCCCCTCTGGGTGTTTTTCGTTTTGATGGAGAGACTGGCAACGAAATCTGGAATGGCTTTACCGAATGCCTCACGGATCACGGACATTACATTACAGCGGAGTGCGGAGAGGGACGGGAAAACTGTGAATGAACAAGGAAAGGACAATGACAACGAAAATGCGAACGGACAAAATGGAAAAACAGGAGTAGGAAAACAAAAAGAGGTGAGAGGAGTTGGAGTGGGTGGTGGAAGAGGAGAAATATAAAAAAGGTTCTATAAATGTGGCGTGCAGGGACACTAGCCCGGGACTGTGTGGCACGGGAAGAGGGGGCGAGCGGAGCCAGGGGGAGAGAAAGTGCACAGGCGGTAAAAACAGCTGAGAATGGAGGAGATGAAGAAGAGCAAGAGGATAACAACAAATTGTGAAAAAACTGACATTTTCTGGCAGCGCGGGCGCCAGAAAATGTCCGTTAAAAAAACTGTAAAATAAAATACGGAGATAACATGTAAAAAACAGTAACTTACCTTACCACAAGTAGCCTCTATTACTGTAATTGTACATGAAATATTTTTCTTTTAACATATATTAATTGTTAGAATAGAGTCACACACCTAGAAAACAGAATAATTATCTTTAAAAAAATGATAAAGAAAAGCTAAAATATGGAAAATTACTTTTATTACAAAAAAGAACCGTATATGTAAGACGATTTACAAGTAAAACACAAAGAAAATAACGTCATTTTACTTTGCAAAAGCCTTAGTTTACATTAACTATCACGTTTTTTGCCCAAAAAATCTGTAATTTATGTATTTTAACCCTAACCCTTCATTTCCATCATCACAATGACCCGAGACCCTTTTAGATAACGTCACCCTGTGTTAAACTTTAAATGCAGGTAAACGTCCTGCAATCAAAGTCTACTGTCGACGTTTCAACTCAACTGGATGTTGCACTCGACCATATCGCATGGTTTTTTTGCAGCCTGTTGAGAAACAGATTTTAATTGATATGATATTTAAGACTTTCTGTGCACTTCCAGCCCCACAATGAATCCCAGGCTGCAATCAGAGCTAATCGCAGCACTTTCCTCCCGCTCTCCCCTTTCTATCCTCAAGGATTGTGTTGAATGACATGCCACTTAACATATCTGAACACAGTATTTTCACCTGGACATCAGCAGGAGAGGACTCTTTAAAGTAGAGACACTACATACTGATATACACCTGAAGGTCAGCAGGAGAGGACTCTTTAAAGTAGAGACACTACATACTGATATACACCTGAAGGTCAGCAAGAGAGGACTCTTTAAAGTAGAGACACTACATACTGATATACACCTGAAGGTCAGCACCATAGGGCCTCTTTAAGTATATCATTGGAAGCCAATGTATACATGCATTACATTCCAGATGGAAATGTTGTATTATTTTTAAAGTTACTATTTTTCTTACAGGTAAAGATATGAAAAACAAACATGACAAGTTTTAAATTCACATAAAGTTGAAACCAGGTGTTTTCACCCTATACCTCGTCTTGAAAGAGTTTTCACTGCACTTGTAAATGTGAAGGCCATGTTCAGTTAGCGTCCTTTCATCGTGACAGCAGGGATCACAGCTTCGCTTCAACGAGTCGTCTTCACTCCCAACAGCTGGTAGAGAAGCTTGTAGAAAACCCTGCTTTCACACACATTCAAACCTTTGTGTGCTGCTCATACGTTTCTAAACCCCTTCAAACAGCACTAACTGCTTCAGAGGCCTGTTTCATAAGGTGTCTGTTCAGCCCTGGTAGCTGCTGCAGGGAAAGAAAGCAAAGACAGTCAATCTGAATCTCAATGCCTACTCCACGCATTACAAAGACATTCAAGGGACCAACATAATTATTTCTTTAGTTCTTCGTCATCCCATGATAAGATAACAAGTACTTTATTGATCCCAATTTGGGACAGGTTTGTGTTGCAGCAGCATAAAAAGACATGGCATGGTACAAGACAAATTAAAAGACTAGAAAGAAAGTGTAGGACTTACTGTGCAAATGTTAAGTATTGTTTCAGATACAATACTTGATTACTGTGAGGCTTATAGACGACATTCTCTTTGCGTCTGCTTATAGATACTGTAGCAGGAGAGGAGAGAAAATATATTGTAGGCAGCAAATGTATGCCATAGATTTAAAGCTTATCATTTTCAGTTGTTTGCCAATTTATACTGAAATAAACAGAGCTTTTTTAAGTATTACACCGATTTAAACAGATTCTCTCTTGGATTTTTATTTGCTTAGCAATCTAAAAGACGTCATGATTTCTGCTGCTAGGAAGATTATGGGACGAAGAGTGCGATTCAGATCAGTGAAGAAAACAATAGTGAGACAAATAAAATGAACTTCTGATCACGCCTCAGTGCCTCAAAGTAATTGGGAGGCGTGTTGCGCAGTACATTGGTGTTATTTTTTGAGTGAGAGCAAAGAGCTGCAGTGCAGAGAGGTGAATTGTTTTCTAGTGAATCTCCTTTGTTTCGTCCAAACTTATAGTTCTTTGTCCATAGTCCCCCAGTGGCGGGGGTGACTGGGTGGCCGTGGACACCAGACGCTAAATCCTGGCCACCCTATTGGCCACCCCAAACACCCTCACCACGGAGGCCCTGAGAACATTAAGAAAAAAAAAGTTTAAGTCTTTCATCATTCATCAACAATTAACACTAATAGAACGTTATATTGATAATGTACTCACTAAAATTACAATTCATTTAACTTATTTTCTTCCAAAAGTTAATTATCCGAAGCCTCTGTACACCCCTTTCTATATAAAAGGTGGGTGTGGTCCATGAGTGGTGGAAATTAGTCTGCTAGCTAAGCTAGTCCATTGTAAATAATGTTGTTTTTTTTTACTAAGCTGACATTAAGTACTGTCAATATCTATACAGAAAATACAGAGGTTTTTAATTTCACTGCTCTTTTAGCTGACATTTAACAAATGCAGGTACATTTTTAGCAGCTATTCATACTATTTATATATACAATAAATTATTGAAAATAATAATATACATCACAAAAATAAAAACAATAAATAAAATATATTTTAATAATAAAGCAGAATAGACCGGCATAGAAACATTTCAACATATAACAATAGCCAACATTTTCCCAACATTTTGTTCCAAAGATAACAATTATAAACACTAAAGAAATCTAGCAGTTATGTGTGTGCGTGTGTACATGACTGTGTGTGTGTGTTTCTACTCTCTCCATTCAAAGTCAGCGACGTTTGTAATTAATGAATGCACCTTTATCGAGTGCTGTTTTTGTTTGTATTCCTTCCTCTCCACTTTAGTCCCCTTGTCTGGATTGATCTTGAATAGGCACCTGTTAAGACACAAGTACACTTACATTTAGTGTTTAATTACACATTCTGTGGATGATACAGCCATTAATTGTCTTTACAGTTATACAGCTTGAAGTCAAAGGGCAATGCTACTCTTCAATGTACTTTTTATTAACTGTTATGATCATATCTGTGCATTTAAAGCATTGGTTTGAATAGAGTTTTGTTATATAAAGTCGTCACTTGGCATCACTATCACACTGGACAGTATCGCAGCAGGTCTGTAAACAGGAGCAAGCGGTCACTTGAAGACGTGTGTGTGTGTGTGTGTGTGTGTGTGTGTGTGTGTGTGTGTGTGTGTGTGTGTGTGTGTGTGTGTGTGTGTGTGTGTGTGTGTGTGTGTGTGTGTGTGTGTGTGTGTGTGTGTGTGTGTGTGTGTGTGTGTGTGTGTGTGTGTGTGTGTGTGTGTGTGTGTGTGTGTGTGTGTGTGTGTGTGTGTGTGTGTGTGTGTGTGTGTGTGTGTGTGTGTGTGTGTGTGTGTGTGTGTGTGTGTGTGTGTGTGTGTGTGTGTGTGTGTGTGTGTGTGTGTGTGTGTGTGTGTGTGTGTGTGTGTGTGTGTGTGTGTGTGTGTGTGTGTGTGTGTGTGTGTGTGTGTGTGTGTGTGTGTGTGTGTGTGTGTGTGTGTGTGTGTGTGTGTGTGTGTGTGTGTGTGTGTGTGTACTGAATTTCCTGCTCCCTCCCCCCCCTCTCTCTCTCTCCCCCCTCTCAATTCAATATGCTTTATTTGCAGGAATGGCAGGTGAACAATATTGTCAAAGCTTCAAGGATAATACAATTCAATAGTGATATGATAAGAAATACAATTCATTCATTCATTCTGATGTTGCTATTATTTTAAGTTTCAGGTGGAACCGGGCAAGTCACTATACTGGACGATGGATGACCCCTTTGAGGACCGTGTCATATCTGAGACCACACCAACCTTTTTGACGGGACTTGCTGCTGTCTTTGCGATCTATATTCTACCTGGCTGCAGTACCAGGAAGAGGCAGCCTGTACTCTGGAATTCATTCAGAGGTAAGACTCCTTTCATTTACTTGTTATCATTATGTTTTTTTATTTACAATTAAAATCTTTGAAAGCTGAATAACCACAAATCATTACGTTGCACACTTAAAGGGATAGTAAAGTCATACAGAGCCTAAGGCTTTCATAAATATAAAATAAAAAACAGTTTACAAGTAGTCGAAAAATAATATATATAGATACAGATCAATAACAAAATAGCTTACATTTTAATAAATTAAATCATTAGCGTTACAAATACGTTTCATTTAAATACAAATGACCAATGAATAGGGATAGAACACGAGTGTGTAATGATCGCAGGCGGTCCTGCCTCCTCTGGCAAGCTGGGTGTAATCACCTAACAGCCCGGTGCTGCATCCTGGAGAAGGAGTCAAATGCATGCTTTTGGCATGGATTTTTGTAAGAAGTCTTCTTTTGAGTCAAATGTTTGAAATCCATTGTCGTTTACTCTTACATGTGTTGTATACTCTCGTGATGCATTTTGCACCCTCTGGACCCCTTTGTGGCAAAAATGTACACGCCCCAAAAAACTGCTATTAAATCATATATTTTTCTACGTTTTTCATGAATCAATTAAACAACTTCTAACGTGCTCAAAACTACCAAATATTCAATCATTCTCAGGATTTTAACCCTTTTAACCCTGTTTGATTATTTGCATTATTTATTACAAAAACACACAAAACCTCAATTATTTTCCATATAATAATTAGCAGGGGGATGGGGCTTTGGTGGTTATTGGAGTCTTGAATATGTCAAAGATTAACAAAAAGTTGATTTGACTGCATTATTATTTTTTACGTAGTTTCAGATATACCTCTGGACACCTTCGTGGCCAAAAATGCCTCATTGACTTCCATTCAAACCACATTTTTTGATCTCACTGCCATTGCAGTATACAACCATGCGTTTGGTAATGTCAGCATTTCATTTAGAAGAAAAGTGATATTTGATATTTCTACTCTATTCCACCAGATGCAACCATTTTCCCACTGTAGGCCTGTGTGTGTGTGTTTTATTCCTGCTCTTTGCAGCATCTCTGAAGATGCAAATGTTTATTACCCAATTATGATCAAACTATTGTCAGATTTTAAAATGGAACTGAATTTCCTGCTCCCTCTCTCTCCTCTCCTCCCTCTCTCTCCCCTCCCCCTCTGGGTGTTTTTCGTTTTGATGGAGAGACTGGCAACGAAATCTGGAATGGCTTTACCGAATGCCTCACGGATCACGGACATTACATTACAGCGGAGTGCGGAGAGGGACGGGAAAACTGTGAATGAACAAGGAAAGGACAATGACAACGAAAATGCGAACGGACAAAATGGAAAAACAGGAGTAGGAAAACAAAAAGAGGTGAGAGGAGTTGGAGTGGGTGGTGGAAGAGGAGAAATATAAAAAAGGTTCTATAAATGTGGCGTGCAGGGACACTATGCCCGGGACTGTGTGGCACGGGAAGAGGGGGCGAGCGGAGCCAGGGGGAGAGAAAGTGCACAGGCGGTAAAAACAGCTGAGAATGGAGGAGATGAAGAAGAGCAAGAGGATAACAACAAATTGTGAAAAAACTGACATTTTCTGGCAGCGCGGGCGCCAGAAAATGTCCGTTAAAAAAACTGTAAAATAAAATACGGAGATAACATGTAAAAAACAGTAACTTACCTTACCACAAGTAGCCTCTATTACTGTAATTGTACATGAAATCTTTTTCTTTTAACATATATTAATTGTTAGAATAGAGTCATACACCTAGAAAACAGAATAATTATCTTTAAAAAATGATAAAGAAAAGCTAAAATATGGAAAATTACTTTTATTACAAAAAAGAACCGTATATCTAAGACGATTTACAAGTAAAACACAAAGAAAATAACGTCATTTTACTTTGCAAAAGCCTTAGTTTACATTAACTATCACGTTTTTTGCCCAAAAAATCTGTAATTTATGTATTTATTTATTTGAACCCTAACCCTTCATTTCCATCATCACAATGACCCGAGACCCTTTTAGATAACGTCACCCTGTGTTAAACTTTAATTGCAGGTAAACGTCCTGCAATCAAAGTCTACTGTCGACGTTTCAACTCAACTGGATGATATTTAGACTTTCTGTGCACTTCCAGCCCCACAATGAATCCCAGGCTGTAAAGAGCAGCTCCTAAGAGGCTGCAATCAGAGCTAATCGCAGCACTTTCCTCCCGCTCTCCCCTTTCTATCCCCCCCCCCCCCCCCCCCCCCCAACAGATCCATCTCTAGGCTCAGCAGCCCTGTCCCCTTCTGGTCACCCTACCCCAGAATGCTGAACCTGAACCAGCGTTTCTCCCAACTGAAGGAGGTGAGCAGCATTGTGTTGAATGACATGCCACTTAACATATCTGCCTTTCATCGCGACACGATGTTTACAGTGAGAACAGCTGTGAGGTCCGTGCAGAAAGCAGAGCAGTGTGTAAAATATATATCACTCAGTATAACAGGCCTACTCTCTTTATTTGCTTTAGTTGAGCAGATATCTACAAACAAAGAGTCGATATTTTTCTAAAACCATTTAGTGCTTCACATAATAAAATACACAACGGCTGTAGCCTGATGATGTGCTTTAGGAGCTGTAGGTGTGTGTGTGTGGTGTAGTAGGTGTGTGTGGTACAGTGTGTGCGTAGATGCAGCGGACAGACAGGTCTCAGTTGGTTTGGTGTCCTTTCAAAGGAACTTAATTACATACAGTAACGTTAAGGCAAAGTAAAAAGAGGTTTACTGAGTATATGAAGTACATTAAGGTTAAGTTTTTATTCAAATTAAATATAATAGTGGATTTTTCCACCTAGTACAAGACATAGAAAGAGGAGAATTGTTAAACATGAAATAACAAACACACTGTAAGAAATATATATTGTAATGTTATTTAGGAGTTGTATTTATCATACAAGAGTGACTCTCATTTGATGGTTGTTTAGGCCCCGGCTCCACGGGAACGCATAGGCTACGGCAAAACGCATAGGAGTAACGCAAACGCAAACGCCAAAAAGCTTCCGCCCACACGCAATATACACCGGATTGTGTCAAGCTACACGAGACAGCTCCGTTTACATCCAACCGCTGGAAAAGCTGCAGTACATATGCCGAGCCTGTACGTGGCGCTGTAACTTCCTCCACAAAAGCAGCAACTTCCTCCACAAAAGCAGCGAAGAAGAATGGTTGTCATGGCTGCACTTCTGTTTATTCTCCTTGGTGGGGGCCGACAGAACCGGGCAGAGTTTTTCGCCGGTCAGCGTGTGTTAAAGTTTAAATCTTCCGGACAAAATTATAAAAGTGCCGGTCAAAGGTCTTCATTGTTATTTATTGAGCTTTAAAACAAATGAATAACGACGATATAATGATATATAATCATAAAATACACAGAGCCTGTCTCTTTTTCCTCTCTTCTGACAGCGTCAGTGTCTGCCTCATGCAGCAGCTGATCCTGTAATGAGTGACCCGACAGTAAAAATAAACATATTTATAACTAGTTTAGGTAGTTTGAGAGGTAATTAAAATAGCTAAGGGTGATGATCTGACTTGAAGTGTGTGTTTTGCTCCCGCTGCATCACAGCGGGAGGAGCTGCGTGTCTCCGTCCTGTCAGATTAGACTTCACTCGCATTTATGTCCACATCGAGATAAAGATAAATAATCTGAATTCAGTGTGCAGTGTACTTTTGCGGGGGTGAGCAGCAGAGGCGGGGAGAGGCGGGGCTATTGTGTCGTCATTATCAGAAACGGATGACCGTAGGGCTACCGGCCCCCTTGGACCCCAGAGCACTCCGTTCCCAGATCTATCCGCCTTTGGACCCGTTGTCGTTTGCAGGGTCCGTTTCTACCGTTCCGTTACGGCGTCGTCTAGCTTAAAGGGCTATACGCAAGAGAAATATGCGGATACAACCCGTTTTCGTTCCCGTGGAGCCTAGGCTTTAAAGTAGATAGGAAACTGAAAACGCAAATGATTCACCACAATTGTATTTTTAAAGTTTATGAAGCAAGGTAATGTTTCCCCATTGTTGTTTGGTGGTGTGCAACTAAATAATAATGATTAATCTCAACTATTTCTTTGTTTTGATTCCTCTCTGTTTCATTCTTTCCTGTTGTGAGTACTGGATCGCCACAACAACACTGTAAAACAAAAACTCGTAAAAGAACGGTCAAAGTAGCGGCTGCCAAACAAAAACCCTTAAATTAAAGTAAAATACTTTAACTGAAATAAAGTGCAAAAGCCATTAATTTAATTTAAAGTACACTGTAAAACAGTTCATGTATTAACATTGTTTTTTAAGTTGTCTATGTTGATTTCACTTTAGAGTTGAAACAACTACCAATCTTACATTATTAGTGCAAGAAAACTTTATTTACCTAGTCAAATAAACTCACATTTCAGTATTATAATAACTCACACTTTCAAGTTCTGCATTTATATAATATTGAATATTATGTCACGGATAGGATCATATTCTGTGCTAAATAAGAGACATGTAATCATTTACAAAACATCACCATGTTTTTATTTAACAAAATAATGTTGTTTAATCCACGTTGGTGTAAATACAAAACCATCTATGTTTTTTTGTCAGGAAATGCAGACCGGCTCATACAAACGATTTGTAATCATCATCCTCACGATCATTTAATGTATCATATGTTCGCCGAATTGAAATGAATGCACTAATACATGTAGTTTAATCCACGTGAGTTAACTACAAAAATAATCGGTTTGTTTTTATATCACATCCGACCGGAGGAAAATTCAGCACGGCTCTCACTACCGATAATCCTAATCCCACGGGCAAACAATAATATGTACAGTGTTAATAGTTTACTGTATTATTAGTGTCTAATATTACTGCCATACAGTGGCGTTTTTATATGTACAAAAGTGGTGGGGCACAAAAAACTTAGATGTCTATATATAAGCTTCTGCAGTGACGTGCAGTGAGGTTCATGGCTGGTGAGGCACTGGCACTGACTCTTCAGGTTTACAAATATTATATTTTGACCTAAACCAAAATATAATATTATTTTCAAAAGCTTTTTTTGTCTGATGCTTCGATTAATTTTAAACAGACAGTTCAACAAAAGGATACCCAAAAAATGTCATTTTATCATTTAAATATTGAATTGTTCTCTCTTAGTAAGATCCCATTTTCAATAAAATTGCGGTCTTACCTTGACTTGAAGATGAAGTCCATTTGCCTATCCTTCTGGACAAACATTTCTATTACTTTTTTGTAAAAGTCCTCCTTATGTTCTTGTAGTTTCAAAAGTCTATCATAAATGTAATCCATAGATTTATGATAAAAAAATTATAAAAGTAGGGTAGACATGTGGATGTTATCCGGCTAATCAAAACGTGCATTTATCTAACAGGTACGTTTCCCACAGATCTTATTTCCAGCTATTTTCTAAAATCCTCTGGAGAAATCTCATTGCTTTTTTGTGCTTACTTCCTGGTTTTAGGACGCGTCACTGCAGCTCTCTCGTCTCCTCTTCACACACCACACTTTTCGCGGCACACGTACTTACAGCCAATCAGCTCTGAATGATGTGAGATGACGTATGGTGGGGATGGTAGCTCCATGCCCCTCTGGTCATTATTTTTTTGCCACACACATTTCATTACAAAATACTCTGAGCATGCGCAGTGTAGTTTTTACAGTCACGTTCACTTCACAGCGAGAGGAAGAGGCATAATCAGGTTTTGTCCCACATGGCTCTAAGCAGCTCAATAGGCACACACTGTGACTGTAGACACACTAATTAGAAGAACACAGACTAAAACAGCAATGTACAGACGAATCAGATGATTAAACATGATCTTAAAATATATTTTATATATTTTTTTATTTATTTTTTTGCATTTTTGTAATCATTATTTGTAATACTTTCTGCTGACACTAGGTCACTTTCACTAGTCACGGACTAGGTCACTTTCTGCTGACACTAGGTGGGGCAGGTGGGGCTGTGCCCCACCTGCCCCTAATGACCAGTCGCCACTGCTGCCATAACAATCACACATTGAGTTGTTAAAATCAGACCGTTTTTTTTTTTTAAACAGTCTGAAACGGCAGCTCTCAGGTGATCAGCTGTGTGTGTCCTAATGGCCCATCACCCACAGCTCTCAGAGAGCTAAGCGCTGTCAGACCGGACCTAACCCTAACCCTGAAAAGTATTATCATCTGAAATTAATCATTATGTTATTAGTATTAAATGCATATAAGTATTTTTACAACTTGTATTTAGAAATACTCTGTTGTAATTATTGATGGATAAATGTGTTCATCCATTCAATGTGGCATCTGCTATAATGGGGTTAATGTATGATATTACTTAATGTATAATAATACAATACACTATATAATATATGATATGATAATTACATTTTAATTTGATTCATTTCTTATTTCATAGTTTCTCATTATTTTTATTTTTATCGCTGATCTTATTTTTGATTTTATTAATCTGTGTGAATCTGTGCTGTCCTGTTTTTCACTCTCACCCTGTTGCTGTTTGAACTACTGAATTTCCCCACGGGGATTAATAAAGGTCCATCTTATCTTATCTTAATGTATAAATTGATTTACTTCGATCTACTGTACTGTGTAAAAACACCACAACAATATTACAAAAAATATACTGCATAAAGCAAACTATTGTAAAGGTAAAAGTATGAGCATAACAAATAAAGAAGTGTAAACATTTACATTATTATGATTATTTAATATATAAAGACTATATATTATTGAATTACAATTAAGATAATAAGATTAGATATACTTTATTTGATCTAAAATATTGATGTTTTTTCGTTATAGCAGCTTGTGAAAACCATAACAAATAAGTGATTAAATGCTACAGTATTCAGCAACACAACTGCAGAGCTGCAAACATTGCAAACAGACTAAGGTCTACAACACCAAGTTGTCTTTGTGTATTTGTGAATGAAGCGCCATCTCATGGTTAAATCCTGTAATTGAACACTGTGGCACTCTATTGTTCAAACTATATTGCTGGATACACAAACTATGTTTGTTAGATGAACAATAGATGAACAATGTTAGTTGAACAATGTAGGAGACCCCAAAAACAGTTTCCTCTCAATAAGGGTTTGAAATGTGCATTAATTTGTTAACAATCTCAACAGCTGTGTTCATATCTGACCTACACTTTACAAACTACACTGCTGAAAACAAGAACAATATGTAGAATAACAGTCCAAAACAGAAACTCCCTTCTTCCAGGAGCTATGACACAGTCATTTGTTTAGAGATGATATCTCAGCAGTTTATTTCTGAGTCCATGGATTCTTGCGGAGCACTGGTCTGGTTTGAAGGTCATGATGACCTTTTGAAGGAACTCAAAAGAGTATTTCATGTTGCGGGGTTACTCAAAGTTGAGGCAGTAGATTGCCCCCATTAACATGGCGAAGCCTGTGGGCACATCTGGGAGGTCATGTAGGATGATCTTCTCTTCTACCACCACAGCCACATTGAAGACTTCCAGAGGAAATGAGTCAAGCAGAGGGCCTTCATGTCCAATCAACAGTCCAACCTGCATTCCTTTCAGGATCACATCGAGGGTTTCTCCATGAGCCTAATAACAAAGACACATACATCTTAATTGACTGTTCCAAACTTGAAATGAAAACACGACAAATTGCAAGGTCATCATTTTTTCAGTCATTATTGCAATTCCTAAATTAACAATAATACTTAAACAATACACAATATTGTAACAATTAGCATTATATTGGCTATGGCAAAACCTCAAATTAAGCGAGAGAAAAGTAAATGTATAATATATAGTAATATAGTGACTTACATCCAGGGGTTAAATTGGGCCGGGGGCACATACGATGCTCTGACATCATCACCCTCGCAAATTTGTCATAGACAAAAAACTATATGTTAAAACTTGTTTCGTTCTTAATATAGACTATATTTAGGGTCAATATGTGTTGACTTTACTTTCAAATAGCAGATCTCTGTGACCGGATATCGTTTTTTGGCTTAGTGAGCGTGTGTCTCTGCTCCGATCAGGAGTTGCAGCCCGCAGCCCCCCCCGCCCGGACGCTGCTCCTCATTGAAGAAAGTCTGCAGCGGAGGCGCGAAACCACGCGACCCGTCCTGTAACCCCTAGATTCCACCGGGTCCGTCTGCGCCGCGGTTTTGGTCCGGCCTCCTCCGGCGTCATACCCTACCAGGCGCGTTTCAGAAGCATTTCAGAAGCGGAGAGTCTTGCCTGCCGGCTCGCAGTTTTTGTTGATTTGGGCATATTTCCTGGACAGGCTACTTTGTACAGACAAAGTTAATAATAACTGTAATATTCCAGTTATAAACGACATGAATCAAAGATGTGTTGCTGTATTTTAGTGGTAAAAAAAATGCATTCATCATCATAATTATTCTATATATATAATTTACACAGTGCCTGTAAACCGGAGGAGAACGCTGGCATTTCTCCTCCTACTTGAAAGACTACGGAGGGATAGGGTCTGCAAAATTAGTTTGTGTGTGTGTATATTGTTGATGTGTGCTGATTTTCTCACGTCCAGGAAGAAGTTTTAAAGATTAAGAGACAAATGAGTCTCTGAAAGGGTTCAAATTGGTTACTTTAATTTAAGCAGCGTGGTAGTGAAACAAACAAAGGGTAATGGAGAGACAAAGCCGGTGATGTCTTCAGGGTGGGCTGCAGTGAAGGAAAGAGGGCGAGCGGTCCTCTGTCCGCTGTTTTTATCCATGTCTCGTCGTCTCCCGCTGTGCAAATAGTGGGTCCTCCCTACTCATTTGCCGGTTCGATATCGCGAGAGCACAGATGATTTCGACATTGATATTCTCTGCCTACTTCCTTAAGCATTTTCTCCTCATTATCTCTGTCATGACTTTCTATTTAATACCTTATAAACAGCTGTAATCGTTAGTTTAGAAGTCCTAGAAACACTTTTACGACACAGTTCTCATTTACGGTAACTCCCTCTGACGCCATAGCTACTCACATAATGTGTAAACACTCCATGATCAACTGTACCTTCATTTAATATTCAGCAGTAGTAATATCTTAACGTCTATCGATGTAGTGTTAAAGTCCGTTCGTTTTTGGTGTATAATGGCGCGTTTCCACTACAGCCCGCAGCCCGGTTTAAGAGGGCTGTGACGTCAGCGGCCCGTCTTTGGTTGCGTTTCCACTTGGCCTAGTACCGGCCGGCGGGTCCTAATTCACAGTTTTTCTGGCCTCATAAATTAGTGGGTCCAGGGCCAGAGACAACGAGGCTGAGTCGGGCTGAGTATGCTAAACTAGAGAGAGCGTCGCTGGCAAGGGGGCAACAACTACAACAAGATGGACATATTTGACCGTGATTTAATTGTAATACACGTTTCAAAATTATGCCAAAGTAACAACATACTGATACCGGTTAGTAAAAACCATGAATTAATGCTTTGTCAAGTCTGCAGACAGACGGCAGGGGAAAAACCTTTTAAAATGCTTGTTTTCTAAATGGAGATTGGCTAAGCTAACGCAGTATATGCTCCAACCGTCCACACTCACAACAACGGCCTATACAGACATAAATAAAGCAGCGACTGTATTCACCATGACACAGGCAGTCTGTGGTTTGTACTTGTTTAACTTTTGTCTAGTTTCTGAACATATATGAGGAGCTGTGAGCTCTGAGTGCTAACAGCTAACGGCTGTGTTGTTTTTCTGGGGTCCTCTGAAGATCACGTCACGGCTCCGCCTACACTGCGTTACTATAGATACTGCCCCAGTTCCTAAACTGTAATGGAAATGCGCCATAAAGTGAGCCAGTCCTAACAAGGCCCAGCCATACCGAGCGGGGCCGAGCGAGGCCGTGTAGTGGAAACGCGCCATAACTGGCAGTGGGTGGAAATGTCAGTTGTCTCATCCGCCTGAATAGCTAAATAACTGGCAAGTCACTTTCCAAGTCACTTTCACTTTACATTCAGAAAACGCAACATTTAGTCACATGCTAACCGGACAAAGGACCTTCAGAATAAAAGCTTGGCATTGATTTCCTGAGAACTTCCGGGTTTTTTCCACAATAAAACAGCTTTAAACTGACGATATATTTTAGACTGAATTATGCTGTTTAACATTGATTTTAATTTCTAACAATATATATAGGTCTATATAGCTCTGAACGTTCCACTTCCTGCCTGCCCGACCTAATGCTGCGTTCACACCGGACGCGATGCGCTGTTTGGGGGCGGCGCGATTACATGTAAAGTCAATGCAGAGACGTGGACAGACGCGAATTCGCTCCGACGGCGCGCATGAAGCGGTGGACGCGGCGCGAATCACACGATTGAGGCGATTGAACGGTGCCGCGTTAAATGCGAGAGTTCAATTTTTTCAACTCGAGCGTCAAATTCACGTGACGCGTTCTCGCGGAAGCCAATCAGCGGTGAGAATCTCAGCCGCCGTCACTGACGTTCAACCACACAACATCAGCCGTTAGCTGTTAGCAGTTAGCACACAGAGCTCACAGCT